AAATATAAATTTAGCTGGATGTAGTAATCATAGCTACTTATAAGGCTAAGGATGGGAGGATTATCATTTAAGGTAGCCTGGGCAAAAAGTTCCTGAGATCCTATCTCAACCAATATAAAGCTTGGTACAGTGAAGAGTGTCTATCATCCCAGTTACGTGGAAAGCCTAAATATTAGGAACAAGGCCCAGGCTGGCTGGGGCAAAAAGCAAAACCCTATCCAAAAATTAACAAAAGCGTGGGCTGGGAAGGTGGCTCAGTGGTAGAGCGCTTGCCTTGCATGCTTGAGGCCCTGGGTTCAATTCCTCAGCACCACATAAGCAGAAAAAAAAAGCCAGACGTGGCACTGTGGCTCAAGTGGTTGAGCGCTAGCCTTGAGCTGAAGAGCTGAGGGACAGCGCCCAGGCCCAGAGTTCAGGCCCGTGACTGGACCCCCCCCAAAAAAAAAAATTAACAAAAGCAAAAAGAGCTGGGATTGTGGTTCAAATGATACAGTACCGGTCTAGCAAGTGGCATACCTTGAGTTCAAACTTCAGCAACACATACCCAAAAGAAGAGGTAAGCCAGGCACTGTGGCTCATGCCTGTAATCCTAGCTACTCAGAAGGCTGATATCTGAGGATCACGGTTCAAAGCCAGCCTGGGCAGGAAAGTCTGTGAAACTCTTTCTTTTTGTTTAATTGTGAAAATCCTGTACAGAGGGGTTACAATTACATGGGCAACATAATGAGTACATTTCTTATCAAGCACTGTTGCCTCCTCCTTTGTTTCCCCTTTCTATCCCTTCCCATCTTTCTCCCCCCTCACATTCTCCCCCACCCCCAACCCCCTGGCCAAAGTTGTAAAGTTCATTTTTCGACATAACGCCTTGTACATCTCATTGCTGCAATGGGTTCTGTGAGACTCTTATTTCCAATAAACCACAGAAAACCGGAAGTGGCACTGTGGCTCAATTGGTAGAGTGCTCACCTTGAGCTGAGGAACTGAGGGACAGAGCCCAGGCCCAGAGTTCAAGCCTCACGACAGATCAAAAAAAAAAAGAGGCAGTCTTTCAGACATGATATAGGAGGACTCTATTGTCATGAATGGGAGATTTATAAAAGAGGTCCAAGAAAACTCTTTTTCCTTTTCTGCCATATGAGGATTTAGTAAGAAAGCACAATGTACAAAGCAGAGAATAAGCCTTTGTCAACTACCAGATCCGCTGACATCTTGATCTTGGAATCTAGCCTGCACAATTGTGAGCAATCCAATTTCTGTTGTTTATGTTACCTAGTATATATTAACAGCCTGATAGACTAAGACATAATCCAAAGCAGCTCAGCAAACATTTGTTGAATTAATGACCTTCAAAGAAAGGGAGATACTTCCTAAATGGTCAAGAGGGAATGGGTATAATATCAGAGACTTCATGCATAAAATAAGAAAGACAAATGAGGTTTTAACTACTAAAGATCTTTCAAAGCAAAATTTGATTTTAATTTTCTCAAACTGATGGCTTTTTTTTCCCTCCAGACTATATTAACTTCAGCCCACTTTGTGATAAGGACAAGTTTGCATTAAGTGATGTAATACATTTTCTTGTATTAAACCATCCTGAATTGCTTTGAAATTGCCACTAAAAGCATCTTGACAGTCACTTATAAATACAGAAACATAGTTAAATATTAATTTTACTTTTATAGCTATTTTAGTTCAGAACAAATACTTTTTACTTGAATAGAGTTGTGTAGCATTAATTTTAGAAAACCACTCAGAGTGCTGAGTTCCCTTTGGAAACCACATAGAGAGCTCTGCCTCACCACTGCCTATCTCTGGGCCCAGACCAGCAAGAATTCCTCTGTATTAGGTTATCTTCCTAAGTCACTCCTACAATCTCTGGAGGTATAGTAAAGCTAAAATGGAAAGAGATTCAATGCAACCATCCTATGTATATCCTTATATAGAGAGCCCTAGGACTCGGGCTGGGAAGGTGGCTCAGTGGTAGAGTGCTTGCCTTGCACACATGAGGCCCTGGGTTCAATTCCTCAGCACCACATAAGCAAAAAGAAAAAAGCCGGAAGTGGCGCTGTGGCTCAAGTGGTAGAGCGCTAGCCTTGAGCTGAAGAGCTGAGGGACAGCGCCCAGGCCCAGAGTTCAGGCCCCACTACCGGACCCCCCCCCAAAAAAAGCCCTAGGACTAAAGTAAACTTCTCTATGTATATGCTTCCTAAAGTACACCTTGTATTAAAAACAATGGCCAAACAGAGAACAAAATTATTCTTTGGTGTCTAGATTCCTAGTTATAGAACTCAGGAACCAAAACCATAGATGTGAAAATGTATGTGTCTTCAAGTACCCTTTCTTCTTTGGCTCTATGTTATTTTTTTTTTTTTAATTTTTTGTCAGTTGTGGGGCTTGAACTCTGGGCCTGGGCACTGTCCCTCAGCTCCTCAGCTCAAGGTGAGCACTCTACTACTTGAGCCACAGCGCCACTTCCAGTTTTCTGAGTGGTTTTTAGAGATAAGAGTGTCACGGACTTTCCTGCAGGGGCTGGCTTTGAACTACGATCCTCAGTTCTCAGCCTCCTGAGTAGCTAGGATTACAGGCATGAGCCACCGGAGCCCAGATCTATGTTATTTTTTTTTTAAAAAAGGGAAATAGTTGATTTTGCCTCTTCATATGGAACAATATTATCTTTGACAACTGGAAACCAGTAGATGGCTCCAGGAAAGATGTTAATTATCTTTCAGCACTTCAGTGTGATCTATTTTCCCCTGTTGCAATCGCTGGCCAAATTACTCATTTGCTGTGTGAATGTAAGAAAGGGTACAATTGATATTTTTTGCACAAAAGGAATGAATATCTGGTTTTCCCTAGTTGTTCAGAGTGTAAAGATAAATGGCAACTAGTAAATACTAGGTACTAAAATCTATCAGCTATTTCATGCATGATTAAAAAATAGAAATGCGTACAAAAGAAAATATCCTAAGGTATCATAAGCAATGTTCAAGGTTCTGTAGGCAGGGAAGCCCAAGAGCCTGCCACCAGCAGGTGAGAACCTTTCTGCTTTATCATATCAGAGGGCAACACATACATATGATAAGACAGAACAAATGTGCAGGCTTCAGTTTCTCTTCCTCTTTCTACCATCAAGAGGGCTCTACCTACAGGACCTCATTTGATGCTAATTATTTCCCAAAGGTTCCATCTCCAAATATGAATCTGGAACTAAATTCCCAAAACATGAACTGGAGAACACATTCAAACCACAGTATACATATTTATTGCATAATGATGTATAATCCTTAGTGTGTGTGTGTCTGCTAATGTGGGTGTGTGTGTACGCGCGTGTGCATGCATGCGTGCCTGCCTGCCTTTACTAGGACTTGAACTCAGGGCTTCAGCTTTTTCACTCAAGGCTGGTACTCTACCACTTGAACCACACCCTGTTTCTGGCTTTTTGCTGGTTAATTGGAGAGAAAAGAATCTCACAAATTTTTGTGCCTGGGCTGGCTTCAAACCATGATCCTCAGATCCCAGCCTCCTGAGCAACTAGGATTACAAGCATGAACCATGCATGCCCTGGTGACTTTGGTTTTATGTACTAAACTACCCTCCTCTAGACCACTATTAAAAAAATTGAGAACTGGGGCTATAGCTATAGCCAGGGCAACTATATCCCCTTTTATATGTAAGATGCTACATCAACACTCTTAGAATAATTTATTTTTTTCAGTAGATTCTTTCCTTTAAAGCAACGTCTACAGAGCTCAGGACAACTTAGGGACTGGAAAAGTTTATGCTCCTTGTTTTCTTGCCTGGTCAAGGTACTTAACTAACTCTTCCATTTGGTACTAAGCTATTCCAAAATGACTACTATATTCCTTGATAGTTTGAAGATTTGTTTTTAGCAGAGTGTATAGAATTACATCCCAAGACTGAATTTATAAGTTTGTACATTTTTTTTTTCTGTCAGTCACAGGGCTTGAACTGGGCGTTGTCCCTAAGCTCTTGCTCAAGGCTAGTACTCTACCACTTTGAGCCACAGCTCCAATTCTAGTTTTCTGGTGATTAACTGGAGATAAGAGTCTCACAGGGCCAGTGGCTGGTGTTTCACATCTGTAATCCAAGCTACTCAGGAGGCTGAGATCTGAGGATCATGGTTCAAAGTCAGCTGGAGCAGTAAGGTCTATGAGACTCTTACATCTAACTAACTACCAGAAAACTGGAAGTGAGTGAAAGAGCTCAGGGATAGCATCTAGGCCCTGACTTCAAGTCCTATGACCAACAAAACAATAACAACAAATTCTCATGGACTTTCTTGCCTGGGTTTGTTTGAACTAAGATGCTCAGATCTCACTCTCCTAAGTAGTTAGGGTTGCAGGAATAAGCCACTGGCACTCAGCAGTTTGTAACTTTTTTTTTTTTTTAACAAAATAAACTTCATTATCTAGTAATAATAGGGTATCTTTTTCTGGGGGTTGGAGAAACTGACTGAAGAATTTCCAACTTCTAACTTGATGAAAATATTGTTCATTTGCAGAAAGGTTTAGCATTTAAAGTATTTGATAAGTACATTTTGTGTCACTACTGAGGCTTGAACTCAGGGCTTTGAACTCTTGCCCAGCTTTTTGACTTCTAACTGGTAAACTCACAAGCCATGCCTTCATTTCAAACTTTTTGCTGATTAACTGGAGATGTGTCTCTGGGATCTGTCTGTCTGGGTTAGCTTCCAACTTTGATTCTCAGCTTCTTGAGTAGCTAGAATTATATAGGGTCTGTGATACATAGGAGCTCCCACTAGTAAGTACACTTTAAACCACTAGAAAACTGGAAGTGGTGCTGTGGTAGAGTGCTTGCCTTGAGCTGAAGAGCACAGGGACAGTGCCCAAGCCCCACGACTGACCACAAAAAAAAAAAAAAAAAAAAGTCAAACCACCTGAAGTGAATTCCCTATACTTATAACCAACCAATTGAAATTATTTATAGCTTCAACAGAAATAAAATAATATGTTTGCTACCTGCTTATTCATTTCTGTGATGTTGATCCAGACTCTGTTCAAGCCCAGCTCCCCAGATTCAATCTTCTCAAGTTGTTTCTGTTTGCCTAGGAGGTCTTCATTAAGTTTGGGAATTTCCTGGAATGAGCTTTTCTGATTAGATTCCACTAAAAGCAAAAATAAGAACAATTACAAATAGATGTAAATTTCCCTAATAGTCCCAAAATGAAAAAGTGAATATGGGCTAGGAAATAAGATGGCTTAACAAAAGTCAGTTCTACATTGATAACGATATAACCCACATTTACTACCTATGCTAGTCTTTTATTTATGTAAATATACATCTTCAACACTAAACCATCTTTTTCACTGAAACTAATTCACTACTGGCAATGAACCGTAAAAGTCAGGTGACTTAGGTTGTAGAGTGGCTTTAGAGGTAGAATCCTACCTTAACATGAACAAGGAGCTGAGTTTAATCTCTCCTTCTTTAAAAAGCATTTTCCTTTTTAATAGACATAAGATATTGATAATGGATGGTTCTCCAGGAAAGAAAACAAAAAACAAAAACATCCACATCATATTCTTTCCCAAGTCTTAGAGTACCTAACTAGTTATTATGTACTTTCTTTAAAACCAAAAACTGATTTAAAAGATCAATATAAACAATTTACTAAAACATAAGTTCCCAAGACTTGGTTTTGCTCAGCTTTGTATGGTCTGCTCTTATAATACATCTGGTACATTTTATATGCTCAACAAGTATTATCTGAATGAATCTGGCCTTCCGGTACCTCCCAATCATCTTTTTTTTTTTTTTAAATCACTTTACCTTCCTCTTCAATCTAACAAAGAAAACAAACAAGACCCAAACAAGCTCAGAAACTGAGGGTGGTTGAGCAAGCCTGTTATATAAAAATTTTAAAATAATAAAAGTTACTTTTATTCATTGTTTAAAAATACTTGCCAGTGGATTTCATTATAAATAATACTTCCCTAAGTGCTTTTAGTACAGCTTTTGATTTATACATGGTTTTTCATCCATCTCTGACAGCAAGAATATTTCACTCTCAGTCTAAACTAATGTAATATGTAACAAACGTCCTTATACATTTTCAGTTAGGCTGTAAAGAAAACTGCCGGAATGCGTGCCATACTAACGTGGTCAAACCTCCCAAGAGGTGGAGGTGGTAGGTTTCTCACTTTCCTGAAGTCTGTATGCATGAGGTAGAAGGTAGAAATAGAAAAGGAAAGAGGACAAACACATAAATAATCTGGGTTACAATTATTAACTAATAAATATAATACAACTGACAAGCTCTGAGAACACTCTGGATACTGAGAAGTTTATAAGCCAAGAGGGGACCATAATCATTATCTGATTTGGTCTTTTTAGGAGAGACAAGCCAAGTAGAGGCATTTTTATTATATAAATGGGAGGAAGTACAGCGAACAAACAATTTAGGATTACTAATTCATGTTCTTTCAACATGGAAACTAACTCACTTAAAATTTAATATGTTAACTCTCAAAAGAGTTTCCCTAGATCTTTTGATTTTTCTATCTTTAAAGTTGGCAAATGTAATTTCTACAGTCTTCAAATACAACATATATAATGACAATAGGAATTCTTCATATTTATATAGTGTCTTTAGTTTGCAATGAAATTATGTAAGTATTATTTATCCTCTACTGAGTGCCAGCTCTGTACCGGGCAGCAGTGTACCCAAAAGACTCTGAATCTCTTAGTCTAGAATGGAAGGTGTGGTCACAGTATTATACAGTGTGACTGATGCTTTAACATAGAAATGCCCAAAATGTTTGGTGGCAATAGTACACCTTCATGGTTTATGGATAAGAAAATAATGGATCAAAAGAAATATGATGATATCCCAATTTTATAGCTAGTAAGAAGAAGCCAGGATCCAGTCAAACCTTCTCCTCCTAGGACCAATATTCTTTCTAGTATACTCTAGATATCACAGATGCATCCTAATGCCTTTAGTCACACAAGGCTATTTGTAAATTCCGAATGAAATATCAAACTATGACTGTGCCTCTATGGTCAGTAAAGGAGATGTCTGATATATTAGTGCTTCTCTTCTCTTACATACACTTGTCCTTTAATGTTCTATAGTTGGTGGACTGAGGGCCTCTATGGTCAGTAAAGGAGATGTCTGATATATTAGTGCTTCTCTTCTCTTACATACACTTGTCCTTTAATGTTCTATAGTTGGTGGACTGAGGGCTGGTTGGGTACAGAAATTTCCTTAAAATAACTGTAAGGTCTTTGATTTGCAGAATACTTGATTCTGGAAAAATGATATTCAATTAAAAGTCTCAAAGCCAGGCCATACTTTTTTTTTTTTTGGAGGGGGCCATTACTAGGGTTTGAAGTCAGGACCTACCACTTGCTAGGAAGTTACTCTGCCACTTGACCCACTCTGCTAGCCCTTTTGGGGTTAGTTATTTTTTTGATAGCATCTTGCTTTATGTCTGAGCTGTACTGGTCTGTGATTTTCCTATTTGTGCTTCCCTGCATTGCTAGATAGCAGGATAATACCACTATGCCCAGCCATTAGTCAAAAGATGGAGTCTCTTGAACTTTTTTTTTTTTTGGGGGGGGGGCCTGGGCTAGCCTTGAATTGCAATCCTCACAACCTTCACCTCCCAAGTAGATAGAATTATATGTTTGAGCCACTGTGCCTGGCCCAGCCCATGCTTTTAATTCAAGGATCAAGTTATTCTTCACCACAAAGATAAATGCAAGCCTATCTGTTTTGCTTTCCAGTTCATTTGTATTTTTACAATCCTCCTTTCCTTTCCTCATTAAGTACTTTGAAAATTTATTGACATGAAGAACAAAGGACTTCGAATTTCTCAAAAAGATGTTAAAGCAAGTCAACAGGTGGTCTTATTTGAATCAGTGAATTTCAAAGAGTCACAAGTCTCATTGAAAAAATAGTAAAAATTAACTTGCTGAAATTTAAAGTAGGACTGAAATTGAAGGAAAGATCATTTAAACTTAACAAGATTGACAAAACTTTGGTTTTCAAAAACACTTGGGCAAAACCGACAACAATAACCCAGTTTATGAACTGACTGTTAATCTAATATCCTCCTTCAAGAAACCCTTCAGAGGGCTGGGAAGTTGGCTCAGTGGTAGAGCGCTTGCCTTGCATGCCTGAGGCCCTGGGTTTGATTCCTCAGCACCACATAAGCAAAAAGAAAAAAGCCAGGAGTGGTGCTGTGGCTCAAGTGGTAGAGCACTAGCCTTGAGCTGAAGAGCTGAGGGACAGCGCCCAGGCCCCGAGTTCAGGCCCCACGACTGGACCAAAAAAAAAAAAAGAAACCCTTCAGAGTAGCCGGGCGCTGGTGGCTCACGCCTGTAACCCAACCAACCAAGAAGCTGAGATCTGAGGATCATGGTTCAAAGCCAACCCGGGCAGGAAAGACTGTGAGACTCCTATCTCCAATAAACCACCAGAAAACCAGAAGTGGCACTGTAGCTCAAGTGGCAGAGCACTCGCCTTGAGCTGAAGAGCTGAGGGACAGCACCCAGGCCCAGAGTTCAATCCCAATGACTGTCCAAAAAAAAAAAGAAACCCTTCAGAAAGTCCAAGGATATTACTGATACTGACAAAGCAAAGCCAAAAGGAAAAACACTTTGATAACCCCAAATCTGCTTTACTTAGCTGGCTGACCAATATAGTCATGTCCTGGAGGATGATGCTCAGTGATTGAAAGTTGGTTTCTTTGTCTAGGGTATAATTCCTGTTATCTGAATACACTCATTCTAGACTGGTATTAATAAGTGCTCAAAAAATATTATTGACGGGCTATTAGGTTTGCTATATATGCTACATTTTCCAAACCAGGAAATTCCCTGACAACTAGCCAAGGTATAAATTATCTGGTATCCCAGCTGGGGGTTGGTGGCTCATGCCTATAATCCTAGCTACTCAGGCGGCTGAGATCTGAGGATCATGGATCAAAGCCAGCCTGGGCAGTAAAGTCCCCAAGAGATTTTTATCTCCAATTAACCACTCCATAATCAGAAGTAGTGCTGTGGCTCAAGTGGTAGAGTGCTAGCCTTGAGAAAAAGAGCTCAGGGACAGCATCCAGGCCCTGAGTTCAAGCCTCACAACCAACCAAAACCCTCCAAAAACCAAATAAATTATCTGGTATTCCACAAACATTGGCACAGAACAGCTGGAGAAAGGAACCCATAAATGGGAAAACTAAGCCATTTTTTGAAATGTATAAATATATAATTGCTATATGTGATCACATCAAGCTGTAACATAGGCCTAGGAAGACCAACTAATTATGGAAAGTTGATGGTACAGACAGGTATGTTCAGTGGTTATTTATAGGTAAACATTGTTTTGGGACCCTTTTTCCAATTACCATTACTACTTACATAAAAAGAAAACTATGGCCTTTCAAACACCCTACTATACTGCAAGGATAAATATCAAGCAGAAAAAAAGAAATCGTAGTATAGAAATCTCATTCTTCCTTGCACTGTTCTCTGAAGAAACATGCAGGCCAGGATGATTCTGGAAGAACTATGGGTTATCAATCCAATTTTCTGAATTGAAAAACCCAAAGAAAACCAAAGTGAATATTTCAACTTTCTTTTTTTCAAGCACCAGAAAAATACTATCAACATAATGAGGATAAGCTGTCCCTAGATAAGGTTTAAGACCTGAATAATGTAGGCAGCCAAGAGAAGAGTGGATGAAGGAAAGGTAGAATGTTGTGATTTTCTAAGCTTCACATGGAAAATAAGAACTCTAATTCTAGTTCTGGAGCCAGAATTCCTTATGACCTTGAGAAAGCCTACGGTTAGTTTTCTGGTATACTAATACTATTAAGATTAGGATAGCTGTAATAAAGTTGAGCTTAGAAAATAACTCTTGAAACCTAGAGACAAAAAAATGTCATTGTTGGGGCTGGGAAGGCAGCTCAGTGGCAGAGGGCCTGCTTTGCATGCATGAGGCCTTGGGTTTGATTACTCAGCACCACATAAACAGAAAAAAAAAAGCGGGAAGTGGTGCTGTGGCTCAAGTGGTAGAGCACTAGCCTTGAGCTGAAGAGCTGAAGGAGAGCGCCCAGGCCCAGAGTTCAGTCCCCACGACCACTACCACCAACAAGAAAAGTCATTGCTGCTAATAAAAGAAAATAAAATTAGTTACATCTGATTGGAATGCTATAAAATGTACCTTTTCATCCAAAAATAGTCAGGATGAATAATACTATTGTGACACACAATATTTTGTAACTTGAAAAGTCCCTTAAGGGCTGGGAAGGTGGCTCAGTGGTAGAGTGCTTTGCCTTGAATGCACGAAGCCCTGGGTTCGATTCCTCAGCACCACAAAAGCAGAAAAAGCTGGAAGTGGTGCTGTGGCTCAAGTAGTAGGGCAGTAGCCTTGAGCTGAATAGATAAGGGTCAGCGCCCACGCCCAGAGTTCAGGCCCCACAACTGACAGAAAAAAAAAGAAAGGTCCCTTAAACATTAAACTTCATTCATGAGACAAAGTATTTGTCAGCTATACAATGTTTAAGATAGGCACAGTTATGATAATTACAAACCCTTCATGAATATGTAGTTTGCCTTGGGAATCACAAAAGTTTTCTAAAATTGAAAATGATAACATCAATAGAATTGAAAAGTTTTCCCACTGAAATAGATATGACAAATAAGCAAAGCTAAAGATAGGAAAGAAATCTATTATTTCTTGCTCTATACTTAAAACACTTGATAAATGGGCAAGCAAGCAAACAGAGAAACTCTAGCTCCTCTGGAACTTTCACCAAGCTTCAGATTACTGATATCAAAACAAGTTCTGAGAACTTGGAGCAATATATACAGGCTTCCTTGGGCACTGGAAATACTGATGCAGTATAGTAGTGGTTGTAAATATGAACAGTAGGGCAGCAAAAGGTGAAGTAATCAGATAGAAGTCTCCTCACTGCCACGCTAAATCTCTGAAGTTTCATAATCTTTCTGCTATTCTGTTTTTGTTGTTGCAGAATTTGGGATCGAACTTAGTGCCTGTGCTTGTTAGGCAGGCACTTTACTTTGTACTTTATTTTTGAGATGGGGGTCTGTGTTTATGACAAGGATAGCCTGGACTATAACCCTCTGACTTATGTTTCCCATATAGCTGAAATGACAAGTGCATGCCATCAAACTCAACTCTTTTTGGTTGAGATGTCTTGTACGTTTTGCCTGAGCGGGCCTTGAACCTTGATCCTCCCAATCTCTACTTCCCAAGTAGCTAGAATTAAATGTATGAGCTCCCATACCAGCCTTAACCTTTCTCTCTCTCTCTCTTTTTTTTGTTTTCTGGTCGTGGGGCCTGAACTCTGGGCCTAGGTGCTGTCCCTCAGCTCTTCCTCAAGGTGAGCGCTCTATCGCTTGAGCCACAGTGCCACTTCTGGTTTTCTAGTAATTTATTGGAGATAATAGTCTCACAGACTTTTCCTGCTCGGGCTGGCTTTGAACCATGATCCTCAGATCTCAGCCTCCTGAGTAGCTAGGATTACAAGCGTGAGCCACCAGCGCCCGGCTTATAGGTTTTATTTATTTAAATTTTGTTGTATCGTAAAGATACTGTACAGAGGGGTTACATTTACACGAGTAAGGTACATTTTTTGTTGAACATTGTTACCCACTTCATTGTTGTTCTCTCATTATCCTTTCCTTCTCCCAACTCCTCCACATGAAGTTGTAAAGTTCATTTCCAACATAGTGTCCTGTGAGTGTCATTGTTGTAGTGGGTCATTTTTTGTACTCTTTCAGTATTTTGTTATTTCCCTTCCCTTCTTCCAATCAGATAAATGCATATACAAGATGGAGGGTATCAGAATTGAAGACAGAGATTGCCAGGGAAAAACCAATGGAAAAAGAAAAATGAAATAAAATAAGACAAAAGATGGGCTGGGAAGGTGGCTCAATGGTAGAGTGCTTCCCTTGCATGCCTGAGGCCCTGGGTTCGATTCCTCAGTATCACATAAGTAAGAAAAGCCAGAAGTGGCATTGTGGCTCAAGTGGTAGGGTACTAGCCTTGAGCTGAAGAGATGAGGGACAGCGCCCAGGCCCAGAGTTCAGACCCTACAACCGACAAAAAAAAAAAAAAAAAGATGAAAGAACTAGGGCTGAGAATGTGGCTTAGTGGTAGAGTGCTTGCCTAGCATGCATGAAGCCCTCAGTTCGATTCCTTAGTACCACAAAAAAGAAAAAGCTGGAAGTGGTGCTGTGGCTCAAATGGTAGAGCCCTAGCCTTGAGCACAGAGAGGCTCAAGGACAGTGCCCAGGCCTTGAGTTCAAGCTCCAGGACTGGCAAAAAAAAAAAAAAAAGACCTGTTGTTTCCATGTTTTGGAGTTCATTTCAATTAGCATCATTTTGTATGATCATATGTTCTTATCTCTTTCAGGACTAACCTAGGCTTATACTAATTATTACACATAAGGGAAACCAGAGAGGTTTTAAAATAAGTGTTAACACCATTCAAGCTATCACCTGAGACAGAATATAAAAAAGCGGAATGGAATGTACAATTGTTTCACCCAGTGGGCAAACTCCTAATTCTGCATAGGCCAATTTGTCCTAAAACCTGGAAAAGGTCCAAGATTATGCCCTGAAAGGGGTGACCACTTACTTGTTCTAAACTTTTCCTTGAGGGCATCCAGATCCTCCTTGAGAGCAATTTGCATCCATACCAAGCCAACACAGGCCACCACACAGGCCGCGAGGATGACAAAAGCACAGAGGGGATAACAGATCTTGCAGCAGCGTAAGTAGTCTCCTCTGTCAGAAGAACAAACTCAACCATGAGTGGGAAAGTGATTACCAAGATAGCTTTATTAGAAACAGTACATGTGTGCTGCCCTGAAATTATCTTCTCTAATGACTAGCCAGTGAATTTACCAGGGGAGATAAAACTTACATTTAAATAGCAGCAGGATGAAAATTACTAAATAAAAGTTACCCATAAAAAGTTCTTCTATTGGTTACAAGGGTTTCAAATTGTACAAGAACCAGGAAGTTCCTATGCGTGATGACAAGCTCCTGTAAGCTCTGTAGATCACTGCCATCATCATCATTTCATAAGGTGGTCTTTGGAGAGAAGCTCAGTTAGGAAAAGTACGAAAACCAAGCCAGATGTAATACTGCATTCTTATAATCTCAGCTACTCAGGAGACAAAGGCAACCTAGCCAGACGCTGTCTCAAAATAAAGTAAAAGAAAAAAAATGGGGGCTGGGAAGGTGGCTCAGTGGTAGAGCGCTTGCCTTGCATGCATGAGGCCCTGGGTTCGATTCCTCAGCACCACATAAGCAAACAGAAAAAAGCTGGAAGTGACACCGTGGCTCAAGTG